TCGTGTGTCCCACCCCCAGGCTGCCTCCAAGGGGTGGGCCCTGGCCAGGAGCACAGGGCCCTGGAGATGCCAGTAGGAAATGGCCCTTACCCGCCTGGCTGCTCACACCACCACAGGAGCTGGCTGCTGGCAGGGATGGGGGCCTGTAGAAGCCCCCGTTGGCCAGTGCCAGGCCCAAGGCTCCTCCACCCTTTGGCAGTCACGCCCAGGCCCCCAGCAGCTCTTAGGCCATTCCAGGCTGCAGCTGCCCACACCGTAGCCTAGGTGCTGCCTGTCCTGCAGGGCTGAGGGAAGAAGGACCCAGTGCCACAGGCCTGGCTGCAGCCAGTTCCTTGCACACACGTGACACGCCAGGCCCACGGGTAAGACTCCAGCTCTTTATTCACTTGCCCAGCAGCTGCCTTGAGTGGTAAGAAAAGTAGGAAGCAAGAAATTCATGATACCCTGAGTTTTAGCTCCCACCCCAGGCACAAGCACCCAAGTGCTGCCAGTTGGATAGGAGAGTGGACCTGCTGCCTTCCCCCAGCCTGCGTCTACGGGCTACCGGGAGAGGCCCCTGCCAGGCAGCCTGGCTAATGGGAGACAGGCAGAGCAGAGGCAGGGGCAGACTAGAAGGGGCACAGGTGGAAGTTGTACAAGTCCAGAGTTGTCAGCTGTGGCCCTGCCTGCTGCCAATCCTGGGAAGGCCATGGGCCACGCCAGGACACCCCCTCCCAGACCGCACAGATGGCTCTGCAGGGCCCTTCAGGCGGGCCCTGGGCGGAGCTGTAGGCTGCAGCAGTGTAAGGTGCATCATTGCATAGAAAAACAAGCCAGGTTTGCTGCCGCCCTGGAGCCTGCAGCAGGGCATGGGGCCAGCCAGGCCCTCAGCATCCTCAGGGGCTCCTTGCTGGAGTCCCAGCCACCAGTCTGCTAGTGGAAGGCACAGGGAGGTTCAGGAGGGAGCCCTGGATTATTGCAGGCCCCAGCAGGAGTTCCCTTCTCCAGCTCAGGGTGTCCAGGTTAGGCCCAGGGAACCTGGGTTGCATAGGAGTAAGCAGCTGCAAACATGGCCCCATGGGGACTGGAGGTCCTAGCAGCCCCTGCTCTGAGCCGGGAGTGGCTGGGACCTGGAAGCACAAGGCCCCTGGCACCACAGGACCTTGTGACCCCCCCGCTGCACAGGAGAGGCCTGGCCCTAGGGGCCATAAGGCACTGTGGACGGAGCGCTCCTAGCACCAGCCTGCAGTCACTCATCTAGTCCTGGCTTGGTCAGAAGAGGCAGGATCCAGCCACCGTGCAGAGATGTGCAGCCGGCTTGGGAGAGACAGGCCACGGGACGGCTTCGCTGGAAGGGATGTGCTGCATCACAGCACGATCTTAAAGGAACTGAAAGACACAGCATTAAGAACCGGCTGGTCGCTGCCACAGGGGCGCTACCTGCTGGGACTCCCACAAGGCCATGTGTGCCTGGGCTGGAGGCAGCCCTGGGGCGGCGGGGGGGGAGGGGTAGGAAACGGAGCTCCAAGGGGACCTGGCAGACCCAGGTGGAATGCAGCTGGTGTCTCAGACACGATTCTGGCTGTCTCCTGCCACTGCCTGGACCCGGGGAGCAGGTTGAGACAGCCCCCATCAAGCTAGCACAGTGGAGTCACCAAGGAAGGGGCATGGGAGCCTTGGGGTGGGAAGGGTTGTCTGGTGGCCAAGGCTCAGAACAAGACGACAGAGCTGCCACAGTGTGCCTAGGCAAGCAGAGACGCTGCCAGGGCGGACCAACTGGGGGTCCCGAGCCAAGCAAAAAAAGAAAAGGCAGGGAGTTCGAGCCAAAATGTGGTTGTGCCCCCGCTGGCAAGCGCTGGACTAGCTCCAGGCAGACACCGCAGCAAAGCAGGCAGCTACCTGGCGAAGTCTGGGGAGCGCGAAATGACATGCTGGAACTCAGAGAGGTTAATGGTCCCATCCTTGTCGATGTCAGATTCCTCCAGGATCTGTCAGGGAAAAGGATACACCTGGCTGAGCAGTCCCGCCCCACGGACAGGGCCAGCCCCACAGGTGTGGGCTTGTTACACTCACGTTCTGGATGAGCTGGTCCATCTCTGAATCACTCAGCCTGGTCTCATCCCCTTCCCCCGTCAGGCAGTTCACTAGCTTCTCCAGGTCCTTCTGGCCCAGGGTCCCATCATCATCAAAATCTTGGGGGGAGGGAGGGGGAATGCCCAGATTACACTCAGACATTTGCCCAGTAGACCCTGGTTCTATGGCAATGGCCTAACCACATAGGAGCGTGCCTGGAGGGGGCGCTCCTAGCTGGCCCTGGAGGCCTTCCAGCCTGCTCCCTGCCCTGGGCAGGCCTGGCCACCACCACAGGCTGCAGCCTGCCAGCCACCCCGCAACCCCCCCAAGAGCAAGCCCTGGGAGCAGCCAGGGACTGGCGGAGCAGAGCAGGCACCCGGGACCCGGCCGATCTCTACCGAAGATGCGGAAGGCGTAGTGGGATTTGATCTCTGCCGTGGCTGAGTCGCTGAAGACGCTCAGCATGTCGAGGAAGTCTTCGAAGGACATGCTGCTATCCTGAGCCTCCGAGGTGGAGAAGACCCAGCAGATCCGGTGCTGGAAGGGGTTTGCCTGTCAACACATGGGGAATCATGGCTGGGCTGAGGCCCCAGGGCACCCTGGCAGGAGCGGGCCAGCTCTGCCCTAGCTCAGTGCAGGTCAGAGGGCCAAGCAGAGAATCACCATGATCCCTTCCAGCCTCAGGGTATGTCTAGACTACGTGCCTCTGCTGGCAGAGGCTTGGAAATGAGACATACCGACATAGTCAATGAAGTGGGGATTTAAATATCCCCCGCTTCATTAGAATAAAAATGGCCACTGCATCGTGCCGGCTCAGCTATTTGTCGGCACAAAGCGGCAGGCAAGACGGGGATCGGAGGAAAGCCTTCGCCGACCGATCCCGGAAACCTCGTTGCACGAGGCATAAGGGATCGGTCGGCAAAAGCTTTCCTTGCCGACCAATCCCCGTCTTGACTGCTGCCCCCCGGGGCCCACTTCATTGACTATGTCGGTATGTCTAATTTACATGCCTCTGCCGGCAGAGGCACGTAGTCTAGACATACCCTTAAAGTCTCCTGCTGTGCAGAGACCCTCAACATCACGTGCAGCTCCACTGGCCGTGGGCAGCCCCTGCGCCCCGAGGCCGGCAGTGCCCGCACGGCACAGAGAGAAAGGCACCAGGCGGACGGCCCTCTCGCAGCACAGCAAGCGCACCGTGACTGAACCGCCCAGGCCGAGCACCCCCAGCATGAAGGGCAGCAGATAAGGAGCTGCCCCAGGCAGGACCCGAGTCTTTGCCCCGATGAGTGGGGCTGACCTGGTTCCTCCTAGGGCAGAGGGGGCCAAGCAGCAGGGGGCGTGCACCATACCCTCAGCTCAGGCAGTGTGAGCATCTTGCTCGCGGGGACTCTTGTCTGCAGGATGTCCTCCCTCTCCTCCTTGGGCAGCAGCTCGCTGAATCTCTTGAGGGCGCTTTGGGAGACAGGACGAATTAGAGCCTGGCAGAGTTGCTGCCGGCCTGGGCCTGGCTACTGGGCTCAGCTGGGCCACTCCCCCAGGGGACCCATTCTGCATGCCCCGAGCACACTCCCAGGCTTGAGCAGAAAGACATGGACGCAAACAAGGGGCAAGGGAGAAGGAAGAGTCATTCCCCAGCCAGCCAGCCCCCTTCTCTGCAAGCTACAGCCACAGCTGGCCCCTAGACCCAGCTCCCACCTTCTGGCCGCTCAGTGTGGCACTAGGCACCAGCCTGCTGTAGCCCCCCCGCACCTCCAGTTGCAGAGGTTACGGTGCTAGGTGGCTGCCAGGAAGGCTCCCAGAGCAACCGCTGCAGGGACTTCCCCACAGGCCCCTGCACAGGACCAGCTGCCGGTGCCTGGCACAGTGCGTGACTCGCTCTCAGGCAGGCTGGGCTTGAGCCAGCAGCTTCACCTCCAGCAGCCCATCAAGGGAAACACCAAGAAGCCGTCACACCCTGGAGCAGAGTCCAGCACAGAGCCAGGCTCAAAGGCCCTGTGCCAGGGAGTGCAGCAGGGCGGGGAGCAAGAGCAGGAAGAAGCTCAGGGCAGAAGGAACTACCTGGTCACTGCACACTGCTGCACCGCACTCCCCTCCCCCCGCTAGGATGCATGCCCCCTAGGCCGCGCTGCCACCTCTGCCTGCACCCCTGCCAGTGCGCGCTGCAGCAGCTGCCACCACCCACAACTCAGAGCAAAGGGGACCAGTGCGGGGGAAGGGGGCCCTGCCTCGGGGGCCCGTGTCATATCTGGGGCTTTCCAGGAGCAGCCACCGCCATGCTAGGAGTGCTGCCTCCCCCAGCTACCCCTCCCACTGGAGACAGGCAGGGCGTCTAGCTTGGGCCCAGTGGCCCAGTGGCTCTGAGCCCTCTGCTGGGTGCGCTCCAGGCAGGCCCTGGCCCCTTCTCCCTGCAACCCTCCTCTCGCTCCTGCGCCCGGCAAGGGGCGGTGCCTGCGGGGCGAGGGGACCAGCCGGGCGCTCACAGCAAGATCTCCTGCTTGGTCAGGAAGGTCAGCTCCTGGAAAGAGAGGAACGTTACCCAGCGCAGGTAGGGCGGGGCATGGCCGGGGGCGGGGACC